ACTTGTCATATTCTGTATAACTATATAAAATGCATATTTTACCTCTAGACATTTTATTAGACTCTGTTGTAAATAGGGTTCCAAATGTGCATGATACGATGCGAGAGATGCTAGTACCGGAAAAACGTAGACTCGAAATTCGGAGAGAGTAAATTTAGGTGGAACATTATAAAGTGACTCGGGAAGACGCAAACTCTTATCACTCACCTAAAGGTTTTAGCAAGATTAATGAACACTTGAGGAATAACATAATGCTTATAAGAAAGAGATAAAGAATGAGTTAACTAACCATTGAACACAAAGCTGCTGCAAAAAAATCAATATCATTACTCTGACGAGATAATACCAATGCTCTATTCTGCATCACTTGAGGTAATTCTTTCAATATAAGATATAAAACTTTCCAATCTGTCAAGAAAAAAAAAAATATATATATATATATTGCTTAAGAAGCTCCATAAAATAAAGTGTTGTGTGTCTTAAAGCATTACCTTTTTCTTGTTTGATGCATGAAATGATAGTCTTACACCCATGAGTTAAAGATATCGGAGTAATGTGACAAGATAAATGTTGCAATGGCACTGGACTTGCTGGTGGAGGACTGTTGCCTCCACCTGCATTGTTCATACGCTCACTTGTACCATGTTCCAAAATAAGATACGGACTAAATCGTGTTACCGCAGCATTTGATGCATCTAATATACCAAGATGATGCAGAGAATTTGCTCTGATTTTTAAAAAACACTCAAAGATCTGTAATGTGTTACATTAATGTATATCCATAAGTTTTATTCTATATTGACAAAATAATTACCAAATAACGTGTTGTTGATACATCATGGAAAACTGAGGGATCTTTGTAATGTTGCTCAAGATGATTTACTAAAATTTTATAAGCACAAATTGCGTGACTTGATGGCAAACGATAAATTTTAGAAGTGAATATCTTTATAACTCCAACAACAGCAGTTTTTACATCTTTGATATCAGCGTCCATAGAGATTGGAGTGTCTGATGTGAAAGGCTTGTTGATTATCTAAAATAAACAAATTATTTCACAATTAAAGAAGAGAGAGAGAGAGAGAGAGAGAGAAATATACACACATCTAACAATTGTAATACCTTTTCCAGTATGTCTAAAAGTTCTATGCATCGCTTAGTATCACATTCCAAACAAAGATCTATTAGTAAATTTGCTGTGACGGTACGTATTGTAATATCTGGATCTATATCCACATGTTGCGTGTATGGTACAACTATTCGCTCAATAAGTTCATCTTCATATCTCGACCTACGGAATGATGTTTATATTGAATATATATGTACACACGCACACACACACACACACACGCACATATATACATATGTACAAAAGAAAAAGTTACAGCAATTGTTACTAAATTTAGAAAAATTTATAATACCTATTAACGTAAATAACATTAGCTAGAACATCTAGAACCTTCATTCTAATGGTTGTACGTGTTTCAATTTTATAGTAACGTTCCATCAAGGATCCTAATTTGGTCTGCCATTGATAATATGTAGGGCCTATCATAGAAGCTCTGTATTCAATTAATTTTAATACCGATCCTTCCTGGAAATAAAAATTAATAGTAACTATTTGTAAATAGATTTTATATTACTTTGCACTTATGGTGCACTTACAGGTCGAGAATCGCTACAACGTTCAACAAGATCATAAAAACGTTGAATGCAACCATTATAATTGTTTGCATCCATCAAATTTTCAATATTAGTAATTGCCTCATGTAAACTTGTAGAAACCTGTCTGGTTGCCGGTTGATTACTAGTTTCTGAGACAATGTATAAAAAGCATAATTTTATCATATGTATATTTAGATGTTACATACACACATACATACAGTATCTATATATTATAGCTACTGTTTTCTTTAATTAGATTAAATATAACATTTTAATAAGCTTTACCAGTGTGAGTAATAATTTCTTCTATGATATCGAGAATGATGCTCCATGTAGGATCCCATAATTCATTACCATACTTATTCACCAATCTTTGTATCGATAAAGTAACTTCATACATAACAATTGGATGGTTGCATTGTAGAGCCTGTTAATGTAGAAATTAGACATTTTATTATATCAAATATTGCACATATATGCATACACATATATTGATACGTACTTGATAAAATGAAGGTAAAACAGATGCTGGTGTACATTCTAATTTTGATATTCTGTGCGTACCCCATAAACCCATATTTACATAAAACACCGCACCTCGTAATAGACGAACGTCACGTTGAAAGTTTGTATCTTGTAACAAGCGACACATTGTGTACAAAGCACAATGACCCATATGTGTTCCTAATAAATTCCGCATAATCTGTAAAACCATTAAATATTAATGTAGAAAAGGGATTTTAAATGTTTTTGAATATGTTGAAATATTATTTAATTGTACCTTCCAACTTGTTTGACAATAAGTCTCAACATTTACACTTCTGCATAAAGCTATAATAAAGGTTTGCAACGAGTCAGATTGCAAATTACTATAACACATAATTGCATCAAGAGCTTCCAAACATCCAGAAACAACTTCAGTATTATTACTATAATAACACAAATGGGAGATATACCTGAAGAAAACAATTAGGATAACCTGTTAAAAAAGTTAAATAACATAACTTATTGTTATATAGAAAAGGATATAATTTCTAGGGTATTTACTGAACAAGACCAGATACAATATCCTCATCGATGTAAGCCGAATTGAATTTGATAACATTAACAAGAAGAGACAAAAACTCGGCTCCTCTTTTCCCATCTCCCGCTGTTATCGTAGGCATCCATTCTAATAGGAAAGGACCCATTCGTTCTTCCAAATGTAAAATATCTTTCCCATGTTCCGTTAATGTTTGTAACAATTCCAATCTAAAATATTTTAAGAAGCGATAGACAAAAAAAATGTTAAAACAAAGTAGTAGGTAAAGTATCATATCAGAATACCTAGGGCCAATATCTTCGGGAATATCATATTCCTTCACTACCATGAAAAATTTTACACGCATCAATGATGAAAGTTTAGAATATTGTCCTTGTACGAGGCATTTTAAAAAATTCAACGTTAAATGCCTATGTTCACGAGGAACGTCCTTTCCTAGCAAATCTTGAACTAAATTCCACAAACGTTCTGCCGCTCTCTATTATTAAAAACAAATTGAATAAAAATTAAATGTAGAGTAAGTATCACTTCTGTCTGATTTTTTATGGCTGCATAGAATATTTAGAATGACACTTTGTCAACACATATGTTTTTTACATGTAAAGGGATATACTTATGTATGTACATACATCTTCCCACTGTTGATTGAGCACTGCATCACGAAGCTCTTTAATCGCTTTCGTACGATGATGTACTGGACTGTCAGGACTAATTTCTTTTTCGATATCACAAGTCAAAGTGAACTCTTCGCGACTCTTGTAACTTCCTGCAAAGCCGGTCGATATGATTATAAATTATAAATATAAATATATCGGACACAACATAAAACTTGCGACTATATGACGATGAGATGTTCGCGAAACGTAATAATTAATAATACACTACGAACACCGTTACCTTTGTTTATGCGAAAAAATTGCTTCAGTTTATCGTGCAACGTTTTATTGTCCTTGTCTTTCGAATTCATTTTTGACATTTTAATCTCAAATTCAAAGAAACTTGTACAGAAACGTATATTCTGTAAACATTACACCGAACATGTCGAAAGCAGACGTGGCTGTATAAAGCTTGATCAGGCAGCAGGTTGAATGTTGAATGCCACATATGGCATATACCAAAGTGCCAGTTGCCACTTGAGCCACTTGCCACTCTTGCCAGTGCCACTGAATGCAACGAATCCACGGTATGTTACGCACGATAACACCAAGTAATCAACTCGACATTAACCAACATTAACCAACATTAACCTAACCTAACCTAACCTAACCTAACCTAACCTAACATAACCTAACCTAACCTAACCTGCATTAACCGATGACGGCAGTGACGCCTATAAAATATGGACCTCAACTACTCAACTACAGTCTCTCGAGTCTTGGATAAGTCGGGATCAGTCGGGATGGTCGGGATTTATATGTCGGGTCGGGTTCGAATCTCCGCTAACAATAAACGGAGACGATAGAGATATTTCTCGTCGTCATTCGTCATTCATCGTCATTATCTTGTCGCTGATTGTGTCGCTGCAGATCCAACGAGTTGATCGGATTTATACACATATTCATCATTTATTATAATTTCAAGTAATTTGTATATAACACAAATATTTTATGTAACTTTCCAAAGCTTTATTCGTTTACTAGTTTTTTTTTTTTTACATTTTCTGACATCACAGAAAGAAAACTCGGATGAAATTAGGGTACATGTATGTATTATATATGTGCCAAGCGCGTGTTAAAAGTATACATATATCATACATATATATATCTAATAAATATGCAAAGATAATATAATATATATATATTTTTGTTTTTAACAGTTAAAAAACAATTTGAATAATTCTCGAATATCTTTGGTCTTTTTTTTTTAAGATAATATCAGATTGGAATAATTTTTTTATAAAGAAATTTCCAATAACATATATATATCCATTAAAAATCATATGAAATAAAGAATAGAATAATTTTTTAATGAGTTTTTTAGTTATGACGAGTTTTTCTGTGTTATGTATTATTCATAAAAATATATAAATCTATAAGAAAAGTGTTGGGGTGACGATTTCTATCAGATATATGTATATGTATATTTGAAAAGAATATATGGATGCTCAATAATATCGATGACTAATAAATAAGTAATAGTTATCGCAGCGCATTTTCTCATAAAATTCCAATATCAATTGCACGCATACATATATATATATATATTATTTTCTCTGAATACACATTATTCGCTATCTTTCCTCTGCTTTGTCGTGCCAGATCGCTTGACCTTCCTCTTTGATGTCTTTGTCACATTCTCTCTCCCTCGCTCCAATTTGAGAGTACGTCAGAACAGCAATCGTAATCGTACCATTCGTACCGCTGGCTGACTCGCTACTCGCTGTGACAGTGACGCTGTGACTCGCTGACTGCCGCTGGCTAATGAGTGCTGAGTCTCGAGTTCAGGCAGGCAGATTTTAGTATCGTGACAATTAGCGACTACCGAGGACTTCGTAGTGTGAAGTGTGACAAGTGCATAGTATACAGAAACGAACAGGTATATAAGCGATGACTAATAAGATCCTTTTCATTCTCTCTCAAGTTTTGTGAGAAATATCAGTATTTATAAATTTTAGCATATATAATATATATATATTTTTTTCGTCGAAACCTTTTCACATCGATGGACATTCTTGTAATGAAGAAAGAGAGGATTTACCACATGTGTATGGTTAATCTTCTCTCTCTCTCTCTCTTTGTCAAGAAAATTGCGATATATGGTTAAATACGTTTCAGAGTACATTTTCGTTCTTAATAACAGTGGATCGATAATCTTTATATTACAGTGTTCAATACAACAAGAATGTTCATCGATGTAAAAAGGTTTCGATGAAAAAATTATAATGGAATATATATTGATGTAGGTGCAACGTGCAACTTATTGTTAGACGTTTGTCCATGCAATTTTCCCTAGTTTTCCAAGAGAAACGCTCGAGTGTACAACTGATCGACTTTATATAATCAGTATTTTTCGTGTACACGTCTTCATGTAGAAACACTTAATGATATTTTTAATTTCTCACGATTCTTCTGGTGATAACGAGGAAAAAGACTGTTACGAACTGTATATATGGCGAGTGTGTGCGTGTGTGAATCTCCCTCCTCTCAGACGATATTGCGTCGCGTTTGATCCAAGGATAGCAACGGTATCCGGTATGAGATGAGAATACCATGAGGTGCCAAGTTCGGAATTGTCATAAAACCTGCATGCAAAATGCAAAAAACGTTAACTCGATTGAAATCTGCACCGTCTTTGTAGTTTGTAACATTATTTATAGAACAAATGGCGAGTCATATATATAATAGTAGGCATATAATAATGAAATTGACTAATGGACGAAAGAAAGTATTCGACCGTCTACTCTCTACAGCACAATTTGCACTCAATAATTTTCCAAGATAACCAACAATAATATAAGATACACTAGCGACTTCCTCGATCTTCTTCAATTGTAATATAAAATAAGCAGCGCATTGTATTTTACTGTATTAAAAATATATTATATATATATATATATATATATTTATTGATTTTGTTTTCAGAAAATGTTTTCGCGCACTATGTTGAATTTTTTTTCTGGGGCGTTGCTGCTAATTGCCATTGTTCCAGATGCGGCATCTTATAACAGTAAGTAACGATAAATAAATCTCTTATTGATCAAAATTATTACGATATAGGTATATTGAGAGAAAATATCTTTTTGTTTCTTCATCCTTCAGAATATGGAAGAACCTGTAAGGACATTGGCTGCCGTAGTGATGAAACGTGCGTGATGGCTGAGGATCCTTGTACTGGCTATACAGATAAATGTGGACGATATCCGACTTGCCGGAAGACAAGTGGTAAGAAACGACAATATAATATATATTAGCTGATTTATCTCAACAATTTCAACACGTGATCTTATAAGTCGAGAATGTATATGTACACCATATGTTGTACATACATACATATTATACATATATGTACGCTTGTGCGCATGCACGCATGTATTATTTCTCTCATTTCGATAGATAAAGAAAGTAAAAACGTGCTGCTTAACTCTTTTCTTTATCGCTTTGTTATATTAGCGTTAAGTGCAATTGCAACTATCGTATTTGAGAGACGTTTGATTTCTCTTAAAATATTCTCTATTTTAACTCCTTACTCGGTTATAGCACAGCAATATTGTTGTTCATATTTTTTATATCATATCGAAAGATTTACGATAGAGCTAGGGTGTAATATGTACATGTATATTGTATATATATTTTAACATCTTTTAAAAATCTTTACAGACGCAAGTTGTACTAGTATGGTTTGCGGAGGAAACGAATATTGTAAAAGCGAAAATGGTGCGCCGAAATGTGTGAGAAAGTCTACGGGATTAGGTAAGCTGCTACAGTTTTGTATTTGGCATTTAATATTCGATACATTGCGAGCTTGAAAACGTTAAAGCGATTGAGCTAATGCATGAATAAAATGCATGATAAAAGGTCAACTAAGCAAAATAAATTGTTTAGAATTTCAAATTTTTCACGCTTACGAGAAAAATAAGTTCTCAGAATTATGGGTCTCGAGTCTTTCGTAGCATGTATCGGGGTGGAATCGGAGAAAGGCATGATTCTTGAGACAGACAAAATAAAAATATATCTACTTGATCCTTCTGACACGTTTATCTTGGCTACGTTCGGGGAGCACGCTATTAGCGCTATTGCATCATTCTATCTTTATCGCTTATCAGGTATAAAACAAGGATAGAATAAGCAAATAGCGCTAATAGCGCGCTCCCCGAACGCAGCCCTTGACATAAGACGCGAAATCGTGTCTCATGTTAATTTCTACATTAAAACGTACTTCTTTTATTTTAATTGTACGTGTTGTCCAAGTGAGATATTTTCCATACACAATATTAATCATTAACATATTTATTTACACAACCACTAAGTATTATTATTGTATTATGTATTATTATTTCTAGTTTACTATTGTTCGTAAATTTAGAATTCATGTGTGCACTGAGATAAAATTTTAAGCAATGTGCACAACTAAAATGATTATTATCTCATGCTATAAAATATATATTTTTTTAATTCTATTTTCAATTTTATTGGAGATATTTTGATAAATATAAAGACTGTATTTTTTACCGATTTAAATAATTGGTTTATACAAAACAGTTTTGTGTTAGAATTTATTTTTAAGATATATTGATCCTCCTTTCTGATTTAATTCATATGATTCGAAATAAGACCCAATATAAAATATATATATATTTTTATGTTTAAAATTATATGAGGCTTGATGATAGTTTCTATACTATCTAATCTTCATATGTATAGACTTTATTGTCTGGATATAAACTAGTATAAACGAAGCGGTATATTGTCAGATTTTTTCTTTTAATTTAAGTATAAATATCCAAAATCGTTCTTGAGACAATGATATTTTGCTCTACTTGAAGACATTTTATTTTTCAAATTAAAAAAATTTAATATTTCTTTTAAGGGAAAAAACTTTTGATATCATCTTTGCTCAGTCCAAACTTGAGCAATAGGAATAACAAATAATCTGAATATTCAATATGGCAATAAAACCTGAAACTTTATTGCGTAACTCGTTATCATCTTGCAATGTTTCGATTAATTTAATATTCCATTCGTGTTTGCCAAAAATATGCACGGTACGAAGTGAGTGAGCGTCCTTACAGGCTACGAATCAGCTGGTGTTTCTTACGTGAACGGCGAACGAGTAAATGGAAATAACGCGAATCCATATGCGAATGCCAATGCTCCACCAGTACCGCCGGCATATCCATCTAGTGATAACGACGAACATCATCGATCTTCTTTTGGAAGCAACTTAGGATATCCACCTTATCCCAGCAACACCGGTTCCTCTGCACCTGGATACCCACCATACCCACAATCGACCAATCAAGCCGGTCGTCACCAGGACTTGGGATATCCGCCATATCCAACACAAAACAGAATGCCCACACCAGGGCAATCAGCTTATCCGGGCTATCCGCAAAACACCGGATATCCTCAGGCTCCAGCAAATTATCCACAGCATCCGGGACACCAAAATTATCCGTATCAAAATTATCCGAACCGTGGATACAACCACAACTCAAATTCGATTTACCGTAGGAATGCTGCATCAGTCGGAGCAGTTGCTTCGATAATTCTCGTTGGATTTTCTGGCTTATTCCTCCTTGTAACGATACGGTGGTGATCCAGCTGAAAGTTTGTGTCGAGTCATTATGATTATTGTTATGCTATTCTTATTTGTATTTGCAGCATAGTCCATGACTATTTATTAAGACAGGTATTTTGCAAGAAATGTTGTATAAATTTTTGTACAGATATTTTATAATACAAATTAAGCGCGAATGATATTTTTGAAACGTGATTTTATAATACTTTTTCTGATATACATAACTGTATACATAACGGCATGTATATTTGGAATTAATTATACGATAACAAGATAAGTGTACATGTATATTAACTGTAATAGTGTTTAAAATGTTTTAGAGAAAACAAATTTTATTCTTATTCAGCGATTCCTTTAATTTACGAGGAAGGAAACTCACTTTCGTCAGAATCGTCTATCCCAATCTACCATCACTGATTAGGAGCCTATATACGGTCCTAAAAAAATATTTTAATTTATTTCGTGCATGTATGTGTGTGCGTGTATGTTTATAATTTATAAGAAATGCTTTTGAAATAGATTATTTTCAATGAGCTGGACGTTATTTCTCTACATTATCATAATTTCAACGGTTTATAAAATGCTTTATTAACCGAGTTCTTATTCAATACGAGTAAAAGATATTTTACAAATAAACGAGTTATCAGCTTGAACTTTGACATATGTGTTATCTTTTCATACGTCATATATCGCGTAAGCAAAATTAAATGAGCTACTATTGCGTCTTAACTGATATTGTTTTTCATTTGTTTCAATTTAAAACTCATATTATAATCGTTGGGGATATTAAGCACAACTATTTATTTTGCACACATAAATCTCTTTATGTGCAATGTACAATTTATGACAAAAAAAAAGATGAGTAGACAATATGTTGCACGTGTGGACTGGTAGGCATACCGAAAATCGTATTGGTTATAACTTGGTTGTTTTATCGCTTTTCTTGTGTAAAGATTTGTTAAAAGAAAGCAAATCAAAGAGATTGAAATTAATGTGCAATATTTTATGTGTCGTACCATTATCTTGTTGCAAGAAACAGTCAATTAATAACTGGTGAAATGGTAGTAACTGGTCAACTGGTGAAAATTTTAACAAAAATTTTGATTTTTGTATTAGTTTTTTTTTTTCATTATATGATTTAACAGCACTACCTCCGGGACTAAATCAAGTGTCGCATCGATCGACACCAAGAGTGCCATCGCCGCCGCCTAGATCTTCGTCATACGGAGGAAGATACAGCGGTCACTCCGGTTCCAGAAATACCATAGGTGATGGTTCCATTTTCAATCGTTTATTCGGCAACGACCATCGCCCTCGGCCCACCAGCTCTGTCAGAAGCACTACGCAAGCAAACGGAAACAATTATTACACTACTCACACTCGCGTGGACAGTCATGGAAACAGAGTCTGGACATTTTCTGGTTAAAAATTCACTTACATGTTCCGTTTACTTTACAACGTTATTTACTTCTAATACTAAAATGTTAAAAAAATATGAGTGCCAATATTGATGTTTATATATCATTTATACGTAGTACTGAATTATATTACCTTTAATCTATAATAACAAATACAATAAATGTAATATCAATTACGAATAATTGAAATAAACTTTCTTTATAAAGATGATAAATTTTTGAATAATATATAATTTTAGACACGTTCAAAATTACATTGACTTGCTGATAATAATAGATTTTTTTTACATGAAGTTTAACTATAATATGTAAAATTATAAAACTGCTTTACCCAGTTAAACTAGTGCATCAAGAAATTGTGCTCTGGTGTAGTAGGCACAGGAGTACAATTGATTAAAAGATATCACTTTTTTTTTACTCGAAGCTATTTGAAAAATATCTTTTCTCTATCCTTAAAAAAATTTTTTTAATCTAATATAAATAAGTGTAATTCCAATAAAATCAGAATGATTTTCATCTGCTTTAAAATATCAAACAGGGCACCTTTGCTCCAATTAATTCAGTCAGTCGGCTACTATATGTAGAGGATATGCACGCATACAAATACTAGGTGTGCGCACATGCATGTGCATATAAAAGTTGTTATATATTTAACATCTTTTGAATTATTCTGTTTGGAATGTTTAACGATGTAACAGTTTGTAATGCGTTTAAAAGGTAACTTAAATATAATTCAATATATTATCTTCTATTTAGAATATCTTATGAACATGTTCGCCATGCTACAGTGCGAGCCTTATCTGCATGTGTGCATGACAAATGTTAAATCCAACAACAATTGATGATGCTTGGTAAAAATATGATTACAGATATTCTACCTTTGTACCTTTTAAGTACTTTTTGTCGTTGTTACTGTATGCAGAAAATGACCAAATGAGGACACGAACAGTTCCAAAACGGCAAACTAGTTATCCGACAGAAGCCGAGACACATGGCTCTTCAGATACTTCTAACAATTCGGACGGTCAATCGTATCCTGCTAGATCTCTCGGTTATCCATCCGGTTCGGGATATCCTGGTAATAGCGGTTACCCAAGTTCCGGATCTTCGAGAGCTCCCGACTCGACAAATCAACCCCGATCTGGTTATCCATCCAGTGATTCTGCCGGCTATTCACCTAGTCGATCGTCCGGTTATCCGTCCAGTGGGTCATCCGGCTACCCGTCCAGCGGATCATCTGGATACCCGTCTAGTGGATCATCTGGATATTCACCTAGTCGATCATCCGGTTATCCGTCCAGTGGGTCATCCGGCTACCCGTCCAGCGGATCGTCCGGCTACCCTAGTCAATCATCTGGTTATCCGTCCAGCGGATCCTCTGGTTACCCTTTGAGTGGATCATCCAGTCATCCATCTAGAGATGGTTCCGGTTATCCAGGTAGAAGTAGCGGTTCTTCAGGATATCCAGATAATTCTAGGAATTCTAATGGCGAGGAAACTGTTAGACGAACCGGCGCTAATGCTGTAAACGCTGGCTATCCGAGTTATCCAAGCTATCCAAGCTATCCACGTACATCCGGATATCCGGAAGGAAATCCATCATACCGCGGTAACTACTATCCGACCCAAGGTACAGGATATCCGTACAATAATCAAAATTCTAATCAAGGTAACTCAAATGGATATCCAGAAAATTATCCACAAGGAGGATATTATCAAGGTCAGAATTATATGACTACTACCAAGCGTCCTGGCATTAGAGATCAACTGACGAATTTTGCACGAAATGTAGCAGAGAAGGTGCTAACGCAAACGATACTAGATCGCGTCACCGGCAGACATCAATAAAGGAAAAGTGCTGGCATTTTGTTCTTTATAAAATTTGCGTAGATGTCCAAATATATAGCGCTTTCTAAAATCTAAAGAAAAATCTTCATTAATTATATAATTTAATATTTTTAATTATGAAATATTTTAGCAAATATAGTAGTCTTACGTTAACTTTCGAGAAACTATTAGTTTAATGGAAAAATTATCGCAAGACAAATAAAAGTTTTATATATTTTTTGTTTCTTACTTATATATTAAAAATCGTTAAATCCTTTAAATATTTTATAATTTATAATTTTGATGTTAATTATATTAAAAAACAAGTGCAGTAATTTAGGATGCATTGCGTACGTATCACAAATATATTTTTTGCAAATGAAGAATTATTAATATATATATATATATATATATATATATATATATATATGCATTAAACCTGCTTTTAGAGCTTTCTTAATACACAGTTGAATAATTTAATAACTTTGAAGAGAACTAAACTAAATGTTTTATAAGTAAGTTGTATGATACTAACAATAAAATTTATGAAAGTTAAATAGTCTATCTTACAATTAGTGATAGATTTAAGAAAAATACATTGATTAGTAAAAGTTATTTCTTATCCTTTGAACTTTGCGCATAATGTGATAAAGTAATTCGCACAAATATAAAAATATAGCAGAATTTATAATTCATCTTTTTCATGAACAAACTCTATGTTTCTCACACTTCCCAGAAATAGTGGTACTCTGCTTGGTTTATGTTCAATCGCGAACAAAAACGGACGATCCACCACGAACTCCATCGGTAAAATTGCCATCCTTTTCAGTCTCATTCCCACAACTGCCGCGAAAATAGTTGTTTATTCTAACGCTTATAAAATTCATCAAATCTTTTTCATCATTCACACAGATGGACAACGTACCTGTCGCGGCAGCAGCTTCCGAACCTTCTTCGTTAATCTCTATGAAAATTTTTTGTAACGCATGGCTTACTTTTAAAGGAATGTTCGAGAGACGTGTAAAATCCGCATTATCTTCAAACATCGTATTTAAGCCGATCTACAAGTATGAGTTTCAGTTTATGAACGTTATCTACATTTCTCCATGTCTCAGCCATGTCCCGTTTAAAATGAATTTCGCTACGTGTTTACCTTACGCAAAGCATCTTTCAAATCTATGGTAATTTCAAACTTGAATTTAGGCAGATATAATGCAACCTCGTCGGTAGATCTAGGTGCATCTGCCAACACTTCCCAGTTAAAATTATTTTCTAAAACCTGCAACTCTATCTCTCTATCCGGTAATAATATTATCATTACAATGTCTTGATTCTGCAAACGTGTTCGTCAAATAAATTTTATTTTTGAAAGAAAGTTTCTTCCTTATAGAGGTAATCACTTACCAAGTATGGAATTTCGATAAATGATGTATGCCAAGTTGGTATATCTCCATAAGCGTACTTTGAGCTCTTATACATTGTCGGAACAAGATTCGTTTCTGTTTTAGAAACATGAAATTTGCGTTTTACTGTATAAACTTGGTCAAACGGATGTAGCCATTTACTCTTAAAGTAAATAGCATTTATTAACATAATCCTTGTATCTTGATCGATATCATCTGTTCAACATACGTTAATCACTAAAAATATTTTACGATTAGTGATACGTTGCATCGAACTACTAAGCATTTATACAAGTAACGTACCAGAAGAAATTATATCAGATATCTTATTATTTGTGGCTTTTTGAACCCATGAATTCATAGTTTTTGCAGCAAGTTCATTATCTTTGAAGTTCAATCTTGAAATTGAAGATTGAAATATATTTGTGCATATCGCTAAAAATTCTGCCATTAAGTCAAATCCATCTTGAACGTATATTTTATTCGCTATACGCACGTCGATGTTTTCCATATTCTACAATACACGTGAGATACATATATGTAACTTTCGGAGAAAAATTAGATGTCACGTTTCTTCTTAATCTTACATTCAACAAGAGAGCCAGAAACTTAAATTCATCGTTCAAAGAAGCCGTATCGTCATGGTGAAGAGCAGATTTCAGTTCGTTCAATGTAAGCCCTCCAGCACCGTTAGAAAGTAAAGATAATATAATATGCAAGCTCAAGGGAGATATTACAATGTTGCTGTCAATGTTGGTTGACAAACTCTATATAATAAAGTGGAAATAATAAGTTAGAAAAAAGTGCTTTATAAAATATAAAAAAATATATAAGTGACTACATACCTTGTACAACAGAATCGTAAACTTGTTACATGCCGTAGATAAGGTTTTAATATCATTTTGCTGTCCACTTGACGACGACATATCTTGATTAGACAGTACTAGTGTACTACCGATGACGATTGCAAACAAAGCTACAAAGATAATATTTAGTTGGTTATGAAATTATGGGTTATTATTTTAGATTAGATAACCTAACCTAACCTAAAAATATTGATTGCACAATGATAGACAGAAATGTCGCTATCGTAGATCGTAGAAAGCATTTCTTGACCATCATTACCTGTCTGCGTAAGCATCATGCCTCATGACTCATGACAATAGCAAAACACTCTTTCTCTCACGTAATAAATAATATTTCAAGTAAAAAAGACAGAGATTTGAATAATAAACTTTATATTTTATTTATTACGTATTTTCATTTTTTCCTAAATTCCACGTGATGCCACTGACCAATCGTCGTTTTTTTTTCTTTTTTTTTTTTTTTTTTTTCTTTTTTATTAATCTTGTACAACTTTTTTGTTTTCGAGGTTAGACTCCTCTTAGGTGTAGGCAGGTGTAGGTGCCTTCAACAATCAACAGTTGAACCCGCGCAAATTTCTCAAACTACTTCTTCTAGGTTAGGCTAGGTGCTAGCAGAGCTTACAGGCCACAGGCTACAGTTGGATTTGTGCCAATTGTTGAGAAATTATCCGTCAAGTCACAAAGAGAAAGCACCTGATTAAAACCTTAAAAACGCAAATACGAGATTTCCACTTTCCAGCAATTTCCAGAATACACGCTTACTGGGGGAAGTGGGAAGTCTACCCAAGTGTACCCGCTACCGTGGTCTTACGTCTTACCGACATCGTTATTATCGTTAGACGTTAACGGCGTCATATACGAGATACGAACGACTTGTAATATATGTATAAATACTTACAATGGATTTCCTCTATTCTAAGGGCAGTATTCACACATAATATAGTTCGATTTTGATTTGAATTTGTTGCTTGTAAATATATATGGTACATGACCTTATTATACATACATATATATAGGTCAGAGAGAGGTCAATCAGTTTTTTACTGAATTAAAATGTCAGTTCCAAGTAAACGCGCTATACATTGCAGTTACTTAATTTGGAAATTTCAATTTCTTTCAACTTGTGCATAAAAATTGCATTATAGATAAAACGAGAAAAAGAATCTCGTTTTTGAGTTTTTGAGAGAAACGTCATCTGAACGGAAAGTCATGCGCCATGGCAATAGCAATGGTTTTTTTTAGGGGGATATCCTCTGCCCTATGCGAAATTGAAGACTATATGAAAAATTGCGAGTATCGCGACCTATGGAACTTGGAAGATGTGCATTTGTGTAGGTGGGGATATTGTTCGCGCGCGGTAGCGGTTGCGAGTATTGCGAGTGACGGGCTAGCAGACTCTGCAGACTATAGCTGGAACCTGGGACCACTGGGACCTAGGACGGTTTAGTGAGTTGTGAGTTTAGTCTTCCTCGGTCTTGCTCTCAGCCTCGTTCTGGCCAGATTTACGGAGATGAGTACGGAATATCGCGTTATAAATTTATAATAAACGTTTTACATATATTTACAAGGAAATATAAAGCGAGCGCGGCGGAGTGCGGGAATGGTCACTTTATTTCCGCGATCTCCAGGTCTCAGATCTCAGGTGACGATTTCAGTTTAATCAAACTATCAAACTGATGAAGATACGTGATATGTGAAAAGTCCATTTACACACAAAATAGAATAACGTTCCGTGATTCCGTCAACCCGCTTCGAGCGATTTATATATCTTTGATATCGTTTTAATTGCGAATTACCGTGAATTATTTTCCAAGTTACGATTTAAGATACGCCATACGGTATATGCGCATTGCCAATATTGCTATGCGCGGCGGTATATAATAATAATAATATGTGCTGCACAGTGCGATAGATTACTCATACACATACATTTACGTGAAATAAATAAATACGAGAATAAATTTCAGCATTTTGCAACAACGAATGATATGTATAATTAAATAGATGATTGCGAGTGTCGTGCGTGCTTCCTAGCAGGAGAGATAAGGTCAAACGGACCTTATAATATAGTTAGAATGCGGAATGGATCGCAGAAGTGGCTATATATAGAAAAAAAAGAGAAAAAAAAACTGTCGAACGAGACAGTTGCTGTGTTTACACGCCCAAGCTGCTATTCTCTCTAAATCTGTATAAAAAGTTGAGAATTCTTTGCAGAGACTAAAGCTAAAGCGTTTTGAACGTACGTTGACGTTTTTTGACCGACATTAATAATTAATTGTTTTACTAGGTACTACTTAAATTCATCAGGGAATGACAGGGCATCCCGACTTCCGACTCCCGAGCCTCCGAAGTCACGGGATACGCTATACGCTATATAGGCGCGTGCAGGCATTTAAAGGCATGATATCACATCATCTTCGATCTTCCACACAGCCCCAGGCGTCTCCTTCAGAGATTCGTTGATATTTTCGACGTTGCGCGTCGTGAGATAGGGGCTAAATAGTTTGAGTCTCATGAAAAGCAGAAATCTATTTTAAATATTTTACGTGTCCGTGTGTCGTGCGTCGCGGAGGGTGGAGGATTAACAATATATTATATTATATATAGTGTTTTCAATTCCCATTGTCGGTGAGGCGCGAGGTGCGAGTCTGAAGTCTGAAGGCAACAATGGGCAACAATGACAATGACGATGACGATTCTTGGAGAGTACGTCTTGGAGCAAGCTCCGTTTTGGCAGGAGGCTGAGGAGGCTGAGGAGGCAGCCATCTGACGATGAAACGCAATTTCAAAGATGCGGGAGGGTGACTGCTGCGTGCTTCCTGGGACGAGAAGATCGATAGAATACATGCGCGCCTGACCACGTCGCGACTCGCGACGCGCACGAGTTTTCTACGCAATCTGCGTTGAATAGGTCCGCTCTTGGCGCTCTCTTGGATTTGTGCGTTTTTACAAGAGGTGCGGTCACGCCTCGCCCGTGGCGCGGATCAAGTCCACTATCGGCTACCGGAGTACCGAGACGAAACGCCGAAGCTTCTTTTCTTTCTCGAGCTCTCAGTTCCCAGTTCCCAGTTCCCAGTGCTACCGGAACTCATCCGGACTCATCGTTCCGCCGCCGCGGTGCGCCGCGACGCCGACGCCGACGCCGACGCCGACGCGACGGACGTAATATATGTACCTATCTACGCGCACACTGACCTAGAAACGCTAAACTTGACGGGGCGGCACGGGACGGGACGTCATCGTTGTTTCGCCCTGTTGTTTTCTCCCCGCATAGCTAACAGGTCTGGTGTGACTGGTGAGTCGATTCTGATTCTCTCGGCCAGGCTGCTGCCCGCGCGAGATAATGTGTAGCTAGAGATTTGCACGTGAAATACCTACGTCCAATATAGAAAATAACGCACGTGTCGGACGCGTCGTAGACGTAGGTACTAAGTGCCAGGTGCCATGCATGGTTCCGTAGAGGCGTAGACGGAAGACGCGTCTCAAAGTCGCAAAGACGGGGAGACACCTGATCGCGAGGTTGTTTGGGCTATTACTCAATCGGCATTACACTGACCGATGACGCTAATTACGTTAACGCGCGCGACCCTCGTAATCTCTATTTATAGCCGTGAAATAACGTTATGCCTGTGGCGTTTCTCGCGCCTCGCGTTCTCACTCTTATTTTGACATAGGTATATTTAATTTACGCGCACATTTTTCACTTCTTTACGCGCGTCAGCAGTCCTCCGTTAATTAAATTTAATATTATATCGACACACATTCGCACTCGCAAACTTTACTTTTACATATTTGAAACTGCACAAATATTTAATTTCCAAAAAATTGCATTATATACTACGTGCACATATACTTAATACACTTGAATCGTTTTGGTTTGGTTCCAAGTTCGATTAAGTAAGTGAGAGTGAAAATGCTGCGTGTACTAAGACTTAGCAAGCATATACGTTGCACGTTTAACACTAATAGATTATGTGTAAGATTGTAAAATATAGACAAGTACGTAAATAAAAACAACCTGTAACAAATAAGTGATAGCTTGATCCATTGTGCAATACGTATACGTATCTATTACGCATCTAAGAATGTATATTGTATAATACGTATTGCTAGTCGCGTCTCTCCGTTTATTACCTAGCTCTTATTATTGCCTCGTACTATAGGTACGTGAGACTTTTAATTGCGGATGATTAGCCGCTGCAATGGCTGTGTGTAGATAAATATATTAGATAAATGGCCATTGGCATTGATAGAGCAAACAGATTTAATGTAGAATACGCGATCATCTTATCGATAGCAAAACAGCTTTTGCAACGAATAGCAAGGACTCGTGTATATTACTAACACGAAGACTACCGTTCGATGAGAGGAATATCGTGACTCCTATTACGACTTACGACTGTAATGTCGCTCAATAATACATTAGTACAGGTACAGGTAGCAGTAAGCCGGAGAAAGAATTTACATGTATAATGCGAATAAAGAGCGCAACAGTTGGCGCAACAGCGATTAACTGTGCATCGATCTATTGTGCATCGATTATATTGTCTAGACTCTAGCGATAGAAGCAAACGAGACAAACGAGAGAGTAACTGTGTCATTTGTGAAATATCGCGAGTAATACAATCATTTTAATTTTACGTTAAATCACGTTCTCATTTTAACTTTGTGATCGTCGTATAATTAATAAAATTAATACAAACTATAAATGCTGCTTTTGAGCTGACACCTGTCGCGTTCGATTGAATAGATGACAAATTTTTGTTTTAGGAATTTACGATGCAAGCGGAGAAACGTGATACTGACACCGAGAAAAACGAGACTCTCAATGATGTGACGACTTCGGTCGCGAACGAGGTAACAAATTTGAAGATGGAAGACGGTTCGACGAGTTCGACGCCAAGCAGTCCTGGTAGCGCTGAACCGGGTAGCTTTTTAGCGAGTTTTAAAGCGTTCTCCAAATTTGGCGATCCAAAGAGCGATGGCAAACTAATTACGTTAAGTCAAAGTGACAAATGGATGAAGCAAGCAAAGGTGATCGATGGAAAGAAAATTACTACCACGGATACAGGGATTTACTTCAAGAAGCACAAGTATGTCTCTTAAGAAATTTTGAAATCTCTTTCCTCGATAAACTTGACTGTCTGGAAAATTTATTTTCACATATTTTATTTTTTCATCAATAACAGATCCACAAAGCTTGGTGTTGAACAATATAAAACGTTTCTCGAAGAATTGGCCAAAAGTAAAAAAGTGGACGTAGCGGAAATGAAAAAGAAGATGGCTAGTTGTGGACCACCTGGGGTTACCGCGGGTGCTAGCGGAGTACGTACCAGATTTATTTATCTAATATTTTATTCTCTTTCCCTCTTTCTTTTTCTCTTTTTCTAAAAAGTATAATAAATTTTACTACGAGTCTTTACTGGTTAGCTTTTTATTAATTACGTACGTATAGTTTTCCTTTTTCCATTTCCTACTTGTATATAACTTCACCTTCCTTTTAATCGTTGACTTGATCGATTTGTGTCATGTATATCTTATCGTGTGATTCATTGCAATGTACTGCAACGAATCAACGTGCAACGGCTTTTCATGCACGCTGTTTATAATTTTATTTTGATCAACAGGCTGGGAAAGCAGCGTCGACAGTTGATAGGCTTACCGATGTCAGCAAATATACTGGCTCCCACAAACAACGTTTCGACGAGACAGGAAAAGGTAAAGGCATAGCAGGTCGCAAGGATGTACCAGACACATCCGGATACGTCCAAGGTTACCAACATAAAGATACATATAAGGCCCAGTAGTACTCGTCTGTGAACGCTCCGATAATAAATATCTTTAAGGTCATGTTGTTAAGATCGTGTCTAAGCGCGGTATGCACATTCAAATCGTCAAGCGCGCTGCTCGTTGTTAGCGGCCTGAATTTCTTTGTCTGGTATCGTCAGCGATCTGATATAGATACCTTGAATATCACGTTCACAAAATTTATCATCTTTGAGATATATTAAGATAGCAATATCGTAAGTAAGGATCTTTGGCAAAATATTAACCATACATTTGCGGTATCTTATTATGAAACTTTTGTTCTTGATGTTGATTTTCCGTATACAAGTTTTCCGATAAAAGGCCTGGAAAAAATATACTTTTCCTAAGAATTTATTTTTCAACTCGTTTTATTTCTTTTGCACGGTAATTGTTGTTTTCAGATATCTCCATTGTTCTTTGTTCAACTATTGATTGTCACTAGAATCTAGATGATACGAATAACTACTGTTACTTTGTAGTTTTTTTTACATCTTCATTTACTTTATTAATAAGGTCTTTTTCGGAGTAGTGGTTATATAGCGTAAACTAAATGCACACAATCTATACTTAAAATCCACGTAGATATTATATATAGTATTGTGTTACATAATTTCTTTTGCATAATTGATTAAAAATCAATTTTCTGGAGTTTGTATGATTAAACGAAAGAAATAGATGTGTTGTGTTATAAATTTTATTACGAAAACATGCTCGTCATAATTACAATTATATAACGTAGAAGAAGAGAATTATATCTTTTATTACAAATCCTGCGCAAAAACTTGAATCGTTAATTTTTGAGGTAGAATGACGCACACAACTTTTGTATGTGTATATACAAGGTGTTTTCTAAGTAAGTAGACAAACTTAAAGGGGATATTTCTTTGCTTATTTTAAGAAGAAAAGATCCTATAAACATGTGTCCTAAACTGCTTTTTGTTTTCAAAATACAGGGTATTTTCTTTTTTTTTTTCAACTTTTTTTCAAAGATGCACGCTCCTGGTGGGTCTAATAATGTTTTATCTGTACTAGAAAATGGTTCTTAATGCCACATGTACGCATACCAAATTTGAATAAAATATCTTTAAACATTTTCCAGATTTTCGAAATTCTTTTTTCACAGCTTTGACATCGTGGATTTTTAAAACAAAGCAGTTTAGGACACATGTTTATAGGACCTTTTCTTCTTAAAATAAGCCAAGAAATATCTCCTTCAAATTTGTCTACTTAGGAAACACCCTATAAACATAAATCTCTTCAATTGAAGAACTAGTCATGTTTAATTCTCAACTCTCTGTACTGGTTATCGGGTTATTTGTGTAAAAAATATGTTTATCCTTTAAAGAGATATAATAAATATAAGTGCAAAAATCACCTATCACGCAAGATAATATTGAAGATGTTGATATCGTCTAAGTAGGTAAAAAAAAATATTCAACGTATAATTGGACAAATTATTTTCTACTATGTATTTGTCAAATATATAATATTTTTCTGTATTTTAAATATATGAATTAAATGTATAAAAGGAAAAAAGACATCTCCTACAGCGCTTGATAACAGTACTTCGTCTACACGGAGTGTACGGCGTTAAATATGTTAGCACCATTATTTTTAAATGATGCATATGCACATTAAACATAACATCTATTGCTAATCAAATGAAGTGTACTTACAGTAACTTTAATCATTAGTCAGCGCATTCGCGTTTGGCTTATTTCAGACCAAATTTCATATTTTAGATCTTACGGTTAAATGTCGATGTAAAATTCGATTGTATTTATATCATTATTATCGCGGTCGCATTTTGTTTCGATAATCATTTTTGATTTATAAGATCTACTTTGAAGATATTTTATAGTTACTAATATAATAACTAATAATGATAATGATAATTTTGCAATGTGTATTGGATGAAAAATTTTAATTTTATATTATTTGTATGATCTTATTTTTTTATGAATACAATATCGCGAAAAAAGGGGCTTTCTATACGCTCGTGTGCGTTTAACTAATAATTTGAACTGTAATTGCTGTATTAACGACATCTAAAACTCTGTGTAATCGTCTTATCATGATATAGCGATATGGAAGTAAAAAGATCCATCTTAATAAAAAGTTAGTTTATTTGACACCTTTGCTTGTTACGGAGTCAATAACATTTACTAACATAGTTGTCCTTACACGTTTGGAACGTTCATAAACGCTCATTATACGAAGCTATGTGCTCTTTGATCAAACTTATTAGATATGAGCATCATATATTTTATGAGTTATAGTTTTATGTAAATTAACTGATATTTTCTTCGAATGTAGATAACACGATTTGACATTTTGATGAACACATATGTACAAACGCTCTTTATCTCTCTCTCACTCACACACACACACACGCACACACAATTTAAAGTATTTTATTTCGCAATATTGAAATATTATTCATTTTTAGCTAATAATTTTGCGATATTCAAATGCTTAAAGGTAATGCCTAATGTGAAATATACGTTAAGAAAAAATGTATTTCAAATTTGCCTCTTTTTGCCTTATCAATCAAATACATTAAACATTTTTCAAATGTTTAAATGTACATATTTGATTCATCATTATGCGTTTAATACATTTAATGAATATTGCGCTACGATTACATTTGTAATAACATAAAATACTGATAAAAAACAAAATTAAATAATTTGTTTAAGTTAGAATAATCTAAAATCAATTACTATTCTGGAATAGTAAACGATCACATGTATGTATGTGTATATGTATATGCATACGTATATACATACATATGAATATATAAAATGTATAAAAAAATCGTTTCACATACACCCAAACACACACGTGCATGTATCAAAACATTGCAAAATATTTAATACAATTCCGTACGAATTATTCAATAATTGTATTCTCAATTTCTCATCTCTTTTTTATATTAGCGATATAGCATCTTGATTTTACGATGTAGTTTTATATTGCTGCTATTTAATAAGCATAAACATAGAGTACGAAATCTCTGGTTAAGTCTTCAGAAGGGTTCAAGCTTGAGTAAAGTGTGTTTGGCCGTTTCTTAAATTCGGCCTTGAATCGTGTCATGAATTTATAAATATATAATTTTGTTGTAAATTATTATTATTATTACTACGCTTAAATTCGAATCGGTATAATTTTCTTCCAGTGTTTTAAGCAAATGTCATTACAATTCAGTAAGAGTATCCACTGATGCCCGAAGGCGAGATCTAGCGATGTAATCGTCGTGTTCTTTATTGGTCCCAGCACCATCGATCCGACAGAAAATCTCATCTTTCAAAGTTGCGAGCACTCTACGATCTTGTCTGTTGTGAGCTGGTGCGTTTTGAAGAGCTTCTTGAACGTCCGATAGAGCGTCTTCGAACATGCCTAAGTCCACGCGCGCTTTAGCTCTAGCATAGAATGCTTCGTAAGAAACAGGCCGGATGCTAAGAGCCTCATCAGCAAGTTCAATAGCTTCGGTACATTCCTGTCAAAGAATCATGTTTTATATTATCGACGTAAAAGCAGCGTAAATTGGTTATTGTGCACATTTAAGTCTACGCAACATCGAAAAAATTAAATTACTAACGTTCATCTTGCGCTTGCATCTGCTCAGATTTAGAAGAAAGTTCAAATGAAGTTGCGTAAAAGTTTGAAGCTGTAGCATCATATGACTTTGCTCTTGTCCTTGGCAATCTTCTTCTGGCGAAACTGGGAATTTTCTAAGAGCGTACGCGTATCGATGCGACGCTTCTTTCAATCTGTTCTTTCGATATAAAACATTACCATCTTCCAAAAGCTTATTTAATAGGATTATCAAAACGTCTGGTTTTCCTGCTGCCATAGCCCATGTAGCAGGACCTAGTTTAGCACCACGACGCAAGAAGCATTGAACCACTGGTATATTGCGACATCCGATAGCTCGATCCAGAGGTCGCATGCCATGAAGATCAACATGTTCCACCGCGGCTCCCTTTTCGAGTAACAGTTGTACTAGCTTTGGATTACCCTGTATATACATATATATATATATATATATTTTTTTGTAAATATCAGATCGCGAAAGTGATACACACGGCAAAGGACATGGGTTGTGCGTACGAGAGAAATGTCTACCTGGAATGCGGCCAAATCCAAAGGAGTTCTACCAGAATTGTCATTCGTATTGACATCAGAGCCGCGATCGAGCAACATTTGTACGGCGGTTACGCGTCCCCTAACGCAAGCCCAACTGAGAGCGGTGAGTCCCTCCTTGTCTTTCGTTTCTAGAATCGATCCTTTATCGAGAAACAGCTCAAGTAGATTAATGTGACCTTCAGAAGCGGCCAACATTAAAGCAGTACGACCAGCTAGATCGCGTTGCTCCAGAAGCGATATAATTTCGTCCGATACTGTATTCATGCTGATGGATAAATCTCCTGCGAAATAATTCAGCAACTAACAATCGAATACATAGCATACAATTTGATGACAATCTCAAGTTGAAAAGAGAAAAACAAACCTTGCAAAAGTCGTTCGACAGTACCCCAATGTCCCTCCCTGGCGGCGAGCATGAGAGGAGAAAGGCCTTTCGTGTTCACAGCTATAGGATTGGCACCGCGAGTTAAAAGCGCGGAAACCGTCGCAGTCAAACCGTTTGCAGCGGAGATCGTTAGGGCGGTCTCGCCAATCAATGTATCGGGACGATCTACAATCACCTCTGCCATGTCCAAAAGATACTCTACAACCGCTTCGTGACCCTGCGACGCAGCCGCGACAACGGCTTGTTGGGCGGCTTCTTCTCTGCCTATTTCGAAAGCGCTGTTTTCTGCTTTATTTTCACTGGTTGGTACGACCCAGTCGCAAGCAAGAAGATACCCAACAACTGATAGTTTTCCATGTCTTGCCGCGTGCACCAAAGGACATTGGCCGGCCATGTCTACGTGTCCCAATGAAGCACCAGCGGCGGCCAATCTGTAATCAAGTATGTCAAGTATACATAACAATAAACAATTGCATCGTTTAAGAAAGTGAGAGAGGGGGAGAGAGAGAGAGAGAGAGAGGTGCAATTTTACCTTCTGACAACGTCACAATGTCCCCGGGCAGCCGCCAGTGATAGCGCAGTACAGCCTTGACTGTTGGTCAGTTCGACGTCGGCGCCAAACTCAAGAAGAAGAGACACCATCTCGACGGAACCTTCGTGCGCGTACATGCATAGAACAGGTGCGTTACCCAAATATTCGGTAATGTGATTCGGTGATGCACCCGCCAGCAGGAGCAACCGCGATACCTTCACATTTGGGCTATAAATGTTTCGAAGCGTGCACAATGCCGAGGAGATGCATTCGGTCGATAAAGTCAGCCAAATTGCCTAAGGATGAATGAAGGAGAATCGAATAAGCTACGCTTTTACTACATTACGCTTGATTACTATTTCGTGTTGATTGTAAATAACGATTTACATACTTGTAAATCGCGCGAAGGCCAGCATGGAGCTACGCCTCTGTAAACGTGTGCCTTTAGCACATGGTGACCCAGTTCTAAAGCTTTGTCACCATCCAACGGCGCTTGAAGGCGAGACAGTCTGAATGCTATCGCCGCATGACCGAGTCTGTAGTCGCATAGGAATTTTGTTGATTCTCCCTCATCTCTTCTCATCAGCCATTCCCTGAACGATGGGTGAAAGAACATGTACGTATTGTCTAAGCGTTTCACAAGAAAGCCAGAGAGCATCTGATAAGAAAAAAAGGATGTCATTATATTAAATCGGCGAATGTATATTACAAGAGTTGATATAACGTTTATGTAGCATTGTGCACAGGCTGACGATGTAACTAATTGTCAAATTATACATACATTGACAAGTAATCATACAAGTGAATATGTGAGGATATTTATATAATACTAGGTCACATGATGAAATAATTATTCTTTTATTCGTTTTAATTACTTTCGTTATGTCTAATTGGAATATTTTCTATATTTTCGTCATTAAATTACTACGACTTACATTGTATTCGCACCGTATTCGGCAGAAAGACAGAGACAGAGAGAAAGAAAAGGAAAGAGTGAGATAATTGTTCAATATGTATCCGTTTAAAGATAATCCGTTATTAAGAATAGTCGTATTACTATATATCAAATTGTGTTTAATATACTTGCCTTAAATCTCTGTAAAAAATCATCCCATGAAATAAAATGATCTATATTTAGAGAATTGATGGAATAAAAAATTTCAGGTAGAGTTAGTGGATATAGAGCTGCCAGACAAACAGCCAGAAGAGGTTGTACTTTGTCGAAGGATGCTGCCGTAGGAAATCTCAAGTTAAAATGTAACTGAAAGATCTGCGCGAGAGAAACCGGTAATACCTAGGAGATGAAATAACGTTCGTTAAATTCCACATTTTCGTCGATATCTCTTTATGTTACCTTATAATTATGTATCTTATATCGCCAAAGCAACAGCGGCTTGTATAATTACGATTATAGCATAAAAGTTAGTTAAAATAGAGATTGAAAAATATATCATGTACCTTGTAACTCGCAGATTTAGCGACTAAATGCCCGCTCTCGATAAGGTCAAGCGTCAGCTTAGCGAAGAGAAAACTACCTCTGGCTAGAGTGAGCAAATGTGAAGAGAATCTTGTCTGATTCGCGCTACACGATGATTCTGCCTTGCCGTTTACCGACGCAGTTACATTCGATTGGATGGAAGGACTTTGCGCTAATCTATAACCGACATAATCGGATAAATCCTTTGCGATACTGTTACCGATCGCATCGTTCGTAGTTTTGTCCAACGAGATCCTCGTATATGGTAGTTGCTTCGCGCAATCCAACAATTGCGTTCTGACCGTGCAAACGATCTTTAACCAACTAGGAATGTTAGGTGCATGCCTCGTTAAGAAAGAAGCTATAGTATCGCCTCTGTCTGGCCTGTGATACTCTGCTTCGCAAACGGCGTCGATCAATATTATCTGGAACGACATAATAACCGACACTTATATCGAGCGTATCGTTCACCGATGAAAAAACAATTGTAGCTACACAATTAAGCTACGATAACGTGTTAATGCTCATTTCGTTTACCTACCATATTCGAAGTTGGCAGTCTATTGGCTTTCTTCAGAGTCAAAAGTGGTTCGATAATACCTCTCGAGAGCGCGAGATCTGGATCAACGGTACATTCCCTTTGCGACAACGAGCCTTGAAGATGGGACTCGGACAAGAGGTATTCTCTATATGAGATCAATTGAGGAGCCTGACACAGTTGTGCCGCTAGCGAGTGAATTAGATCTGGGACTAGGCAGGTACTGTTATTGTCGGCTTGGCAAAAGTGATAAGCCACAACGTGTGACGCTAATTCGCGAACCTGTAATTCGATATAACTGATGCACCTTCTCTCCAAACCGTTAGAAAATATAGCATTGAGATAAACGCTGGCGAGCGTACCTTTTCATTGGTATGTCGAATATTGGCTTGCAGAGTCGCGTTGGTATTCTGTTTCTCTCTCTCGTCGCATTCCTCGCTCTCTTTCGCCGATCTTGGCTGCTCTCTCCGTCTTCCGAAACAACTATGTTCCACTAGCTGTAAAACGAGTGCAGTTTTCCCCGTGCCTGACGATCCGGAAATCAAAATGCCGGGACTGGAGCCATTGATGACTGATTCTAATTCATGTAACAACCACTGTCGTCCTGCGAAAAGTGGATCTTCCTCTAGTAACGGCACCTCGAAGAATAATGGCTTCAGGTTTAACTGTGTCGTATGACGCTGAGCAAAACGTACTGAAATAAACACATATATGGATCTTTATTGTATTATTGTATTATTATTGTATTCGAATATGTTATTATATATTTCGTTTCGAACATAAAGAACAGAATGTTGGACATTACGTTTCGCGTCCATGGGACCTTTAACGTTACTGACTCTCGCCGATCTCCGGGCGCAGGATCGTCTGTTCTTCAACTGGCCGAACTCGTCGGTTTGACCCGCTTCTGCGGCGTTGACGGAATGTCTTCTGGGTGCGAGTGGGCTGGAGCTACCGTTCGAAAGGCCTGATACTGACACGGACATAGACATGGACATTGACGTCGACGCGGACAATGATGTGGAAATGGATGCTAGGCTACCAGCGCTGTCACAGTCTCTAAATTTAGTTTTCGCTTTAGCCTTGGCTTTCGGCTTGACAGAACATCGCAGCGCTGCCGCGGCCTCCGCTTCGCTCGACGTGCCCGTCAACGTTGACACTGGGCTCGTATTCGTTGATGCCAATGTCTGCGTCTCGAAGCTGGTCAGGCTGCTGAAGGAGGCCGCGGAGCTGTCGTGACCTTGTATCGGAGTTTGTGAGGGATACGCGCTTGATTCCACGCTCGCGTTTGCTCGATTGGATCCCAATAGTAGGCCCAGTCTCATGTACAGATCCGACTGTGATGATTTCCTGGTTTTCGAAGACAGCGGTTTCACGCAACCACCCTCATCGTCTGCGGAAAGGAGAAGTATTAATGCATGAGATGGTATGCATGAATATAAAATAACTGATATCTAGTTGACAAATCCAGACAGTGCCGATCAAGATAGCAAGTGCTTCGTGCTGTATCCAAAAATTGACGAGCAAAACATAAAATCACACTACTAATTATAAAATACGCTTAGGCGGCTGTTATCGTTAAAAATTTCAAGTTAAAGCAACTACAATCGAAAGTTGTAATGTTGCAATCAGACTCTTGTGTAAAGATTTTCTTACGTTGATTAATTTTTATTTTAATTTTTATTCCGTTCGTCTAAGCGTATCGTATTCTGACGCTACATATTCAGCGCTCTGCAAAATGTGAGAAATCAAACGCTAAATCCAGGCATACGTGATATTAATTACTAATGATAAAAATATAAAACGTATTATACTTAAAAATATTTTGCACATTCATTGACATATAAAAAATATTATATATCTTGTTGATTTGAATCTATTCAGAGATTTTCCATTCTCTATTCTTTAGTATAAATATTAAAGTGGAAGAGTTTTGACTACTTTGAATAGACAATGCCAAAGTCCGATTTAATTTGAAAACTAGCAATGCCAATAGAAAATGCGAGAGTATTTACAAAAAATATTATAATCATTTGCTTTGATAAAAGGATAGAGGTACACACGACTCGGCATGATTTTGACAAAAGCAACGATATAATAATAAAATAACAAATAATGAGGTAATTATAATAAAGGATAATTACAAATTGCGGGTCATGCTTCTAAAAAGAGACACTACAAAAGGTGTTACCAGAAAGAAATAATTTTTGGCACATAGCGACGGCTCTGCGCCGAAAGGCGCGTGCTCACGCTTGCGCGCGTGACAGCTTTTATTCCTCTACAATTCTACATCCATTCGCAAACTCCAAGCATTTCAAACGTGTTTCAATAGCGATACACAACGTCGAATTTGAAAAACTCCTCCTGCCTGCAACTTTATTCGACGAGCCGATGAGCTGATTCAGCCCGTCGTTAGCCGTGCCTTGACTACTGCTCCACAGAGACTTGATTTTTCCCAAGACAACACCGGGCCATCTTGTTTTTCCTTCCAAAGACGAAGTCATCCAAACTGTATATGTATGTGCACGTTTTGGCGTTATCAAGATACTTGACGTGATTTGAATCGGAAACGCGAAATTTTCTCTTCGAGAGAAGAGCAGCGCGAACCTACCAGTTGATTTAAGAGAGAAAGTTTGTACCTGATAAGGCGGAAGGATTGTCATTTATAATCGGTTCGGGCGAGGATGCCGCGTGTCTCGAAGACCTCTGGACGGCAAAGGAACTTCTGAGCACTTTTGGGTTGAGAAAAAATCTCCTTCGTTGATTTGGTGGCGTGGGACAACCTACGGGGCACCGATTTTACGTTTTTTAATGTACATCTTGAGGCGAGACATAGATTGAATTGCACGCTTCAACGTACTTTGCGTCATTTTGAGTTTTTGCCGATCTTGAAAGGCAAAAGGAGCTGGAAGTAGCGAGGCCTTACTTTTCAAGTTTTTAGCTACCGTTATCAACGAGAGATTTTCTGCCGCGCCTCGCTGCTGAAAATGAAATAAAACAAAGTAAGATATTGTGCAAGATATTATGATTACTTAATCTTGATGCGACCGATGTAATAAATGAGAAAATAACGAGAAAAAAAAATTTCTTTTCTCTTCTGGCATTATTCATTTTCACTTGCTTCCTATTCTTCCTAAATGTAACAAATTAAAAAGAGTGTGTTTCTCTCTATAAAAACATGATAACTTCCATAAACAAAAGTTGTTGAAACGATACATTTAAGAAGAAAAAAGGCAAAGCAAAGACGCGTTATCTCTCGTCTTTCCCACGCGACAACAGGAGGGGGCTTACGTGTAAAACTCGCGATGGCAAATTAGCCCTCGTGGTGATCTTGGTACGTAGCCTGGGGCTGCCACAGAGAGAATTCACCGTCGATGAGTCATCGAGCCAACCATCCGTGGGCGCGAAGGTGGACAGTGGTGCCGAGGTAACGTCCCTAAGAGATGGTTCTTCCAACCCGTCGTCGTCGTCGTCGTCGTCGTCGTTGAGATCGCAGCCACGCAGACAAAGTGGACAGACCTCGCTGCGAAACAGGCAGGAGTAGCAGCGCTCGTGGCCGCAGGAATCGATCAGGCGACGTTTCTTGCCCTTGTCAAATGGCATTTCGCAGGATGGGCACGTAGATCCACCCAACATCCCCGTCGACTCGACCAACGCTCGTATTTGCGCCAAGTCTATATAAACAGAGCACAATCATATCATTTCAATTTTCATCGATAATTCTCTCTCCAAGTAGACCCAACCAGCGTAATGTACAAAAAATAAGAATAAATGTAATCTCACGTCGCGAATCAAAATCAACGTGTCATTTCCAGCCATTTCAAGCCATTAAAAAAACCGATATGGTCGTTTGACAATTATAGGCTCATTCGTTGCGACTAAATCGTCAGAACTTTTGATATGTCGGTTAGCGGCGAGGACGAGACACACGTATTGTCACGTGAGTATCAAAGCGGCGATACTCGTTCATCACGAACACGCAAATCAATCGAATAATTACACGCGAATCCATTGCAAGGCGCGTACATGTACATACATCCTATTGTAGAAAGTAAGGTCGAGAGATTTTGCGTCCACGCTCCTCTCGAACGTGACCTTTTTTAACGATGCTTTGTCGAACGACGTTATATTCGCTCGATTAACTTGGAAACCGCGTATGCGCTAGTATTATATATATACATATATATCGAGTATTTGTGTGTATTTATAATACTTTGGATAAAAGATCGATTAAACCGGAAAGAGCTAAATGCGCGCGGGAAAAACCGTAGTGGATGAGATACGCGTTAATGTATTTGTCACAAATGGATATCCAAGGAATATGAAACAAGACGGAAAAAGAGAGATATGTGGTTAAATACGTGAAAAGTTGATTTCCTCCCTCTTCGGTGGGCAGAGCTCGGCGGACAAAGTGCGGCGAACAGGGAAACGGGAAAGAAGAGAGGAGAAAAGAAGGAAGTCACACGACCCCTCGTACCGGTAACTCCGCGTGAGGCAGGTGCAACAAGAATCGCCTGGGTTACCGTAAGCTGGGTCAACGCACCGAGCACCGAGCACCGAGCACCGAGTCTGGTGCGCGCCACGGAGACCTCGCTTCTCGTTTTCTCAGGACGGAGGAGCTTCACTGACTCACGCCTCACGCCTCACGCGTCCTCGTCGAGGGACCCAGGATCCAGTTTCCACTATCGCGTCTCGCCTCGCCTCGCCTCGCCTCGATATATATAGATGCCAATCGATTACAAACTACAATCTAATGGATAGGATCGTCTCACGATAATCCAGCTAGACTAGCTAGAGCGACTCGCCCTTTGCGCAACACAATTGCCGATTATTTACATTTAACTTTTCTTTCGCCACGTACCACGTATCCTCCTAACATACACATTTTTCTTCCTTTATTCTTACTATTATAGTTTTAAATGCCGCGTACATATTGTACGCGTTATTCGTATATTCTTCTCTCGTTGATATATCTACAGTTGTGCTTAATCGATGATCTCACAATCAGTTTGAAGACGAATGGTAATTTTATTGCCATCTTAAATCATGTGTAGTAAGTTAAATTGCTTCCTTCCGATATCGCGTGGTGTATTAGTGTTTTAAACTGGATCGATCCGTTTTGCTAACGCCGGTGAAACGCGATCTCTCACGATATGCGACATCGATGATTTTGCAACGACATCGACAGTTCCGCGTGGTTCCGCGCAAATATTTCACACGACAGAGCTTTTTGTATGAGGAATGCATCTCGCGTCAGTCCGTGAAAATTTGTACAATCGCGTCGAACAAATGAGAATGTTGTCTATGTCTATGACAACAAATGAGAATTTATTCATCCCATTTTTGCTCGAAACGACGGCGAAATACGATTCGACATATCCACTGGCCGACCTCGATGGAGCGAGAACGAGGGCGATTAAAATCCGTTCGCCAAGTGGGAAAACAACAAAGTGGAACAGAGCAGAACGACCGGAGACCACGACCACCTGTTGGCTGATCGGCCGGCTTCTCCGTCTTCGTTTCCGTTCTCCACACGTTTCGTCTCTCCCTCCCCCGCTCTCTCTCTCTCTCTCTCTCTCTGCATGTCTTCTCGTAAATTAGGTCTTGTAGCTTACCTGAATCACACACAATACTAAATCTTACTACCTACGAAAGCCATGGTCCTTTTCCCGTTTAACAGAGACATTTATTGACAATTCCAGTGCAATTTAAAATTTGTGTTATTTTTGCTTTTCTGCATTCGTTTATCTTCAAGTTTTGAAATCTTCAAGTTTTAGATTTAAACAATATAAAATTCTAAAAAAAAAAACAGAGAAAAAGAGACTGGATAATACTATATAAGAACGGTAAGAGACACAGAAGAGGCCATGCACCGAATGGAGAACGGCTGCAGTTATCTGGTCGTCGTGTTTCGGTTTCGACGAGTCACGTGTATTAATCGTTATTCGGTGCCCAGAAGAGTGAGAGAAAGTTACTTTACCGAGGTGCTCGCCTACAGTCCTGTCGTATTTAAATCCTGTCGCGTCGCGTTGGTACCTTCGATTTCGATATACCGGGAGGCTATGAAATATCGTGATATCGCTAAATATCGTAGCGTTTCTCAAAGTAGGTCACAAGCGTTGCATAACGCTATAAAATTTAAGATTAACATAAAAGAAATGCAATTATATAGTACGTTATTTATACCTCGCGTTTATACCGCGAGATAATGAGAATAAAGTTCAGAATAAAGTATGCAAGAATAGAAATTTAGTTTAGTAGAATTAATAAAATAAGAAAATATTACCAACATCTAAAACTAGAGATTATCTGCTTGTTAGATTATCTTTCATTTTTCATCTCGACGCAAGATGTGATCGAATTAGGATTTACCTGGTTGTTTCTATGAAATGATATGGTTCATCGTTGTGACGCCATCGCTGATAAGGCATATTAAATAATGGGAATATATGAGATTTCGTGCGTGCTTCATGGATCAAATAAACGAAGAGAAAAAATGCTCGCGCTTATCGCTTAGCAGCGCTCTTTTTCATACTCGAAAATTGTGATACGCCTGCAGCATTGATATCTTGCTCATATAATTATCAGTATATACCTACATTCCGCGACACGAAAATTCTTTACATATAATTGCGTTAACATTATTCTTATATTTTCATACATCATTCTTTCAGCTCTCTCTTTTTTCTATTCTCAAATAACACGCAAATAATACGCATATAATCTCAATAGATTTTCAATCTTATCTGTCGTCTCGTTTATACACTTTAACGTTTGCACGTGGATTTGACGAACATGGACACAAATATTAATTTAAATAACAGTGTTGTCTTATGTAGACCCGCCTTAAATGTAATTTCTAGATACATAAATGCGTTTTTCGCAACATGCACAAAGTACGTGATACGAGGTGATACGAAGCTCGTATCACAGGTCACAGATTGAACAATCAACAAAGTCGTTAAGTAATAAGATGCAATAATTTACTTAATGTTTTATTACGTTTAGTAAACTTTTCTTATTGACTTTTTACCTTTGAGGACAGAAAATGTGTGTCTAAACCAGTCTAAACGCACTATGGAATCGCATCGCCTATAACCACGCCTATTTGCATAAATTAAATTATTGTTTATTTCGATCGCTGTTTGCCGGGTATTTTATGTGTGTCACCAAATTGTAAAATATCTCTTTTTTTGCGACTCAACTGGTGCATTACATAGCGTTCGCCGTAAATTTTTTTATTCAGGTCAGGTCGGTTGACGAGCTAAGTTATTTCAGATATGTTTCTTTCGATATGATTACGGATTTGTTTCTCAAAAGCAATGCTTATCACTCGTTAAATCTTGCTTCGATAACATCATCTTGATAAACAGGCTGACAGATCGGTGCCTATCGGTGTCATTTCGGCCGAAATATATCATGTTCTTAAAGCGTGTGAATAATATTTCTGTTTCAGTTGCTAAATCTATCTATTACTAAATATAACAGCGCAGTGTCATTATCATTTCTATTATCACATGAATCGAGGAATGTCGTTGTGCAGCGTGTGCGATTGTGCTCCACCCGTTTCATGGTTCACATGATTCCGCTAAACGCATTTGCGAAAGAAAGAAAGAGAGAAAAAGGTTAAAATTTTTCGCAAATAAATTATGGTAATTTTCAATCTCTTCCTATATAAAGAATCAATAGGGAGTAAGTATCAATATAAAACACACACACACAAACACACACATTCATGAGTACATTGGTTATTCAGGTTCTTGGTTCTTAGAATGGGCAGCCAGACGCGACACGATCTGTTGATCGTAAGACTGCTGGTCGCCTCGCTAGTCTCGCTACTCCGCGTATTCCTCTCACTCACCTCACGACACAACCGCCCACCGCATGCATATATTTGCAACATACCGTCATAATAGGTATTCCAAATCATACGCTGCAGGCAAAACTTTTTGCCGAGCTTGTCACAGATTAGAAATAAACTAAAAAATATTATCCATTAATAAATTACAAATATACAATACTATATTCAGCCATGTATTCCTAAGAAGCTGAATATCTCTAAAAAAAAAAGATCTACAAGAAATGAATATTTGGCATAAATATTCATTTCACAGACAGAAAAAAATGTATGTACAAGGGTTAACACATATTATACTATATGTATACAATATTTTTCAAGTGTTAAAAAGGAAAAGGTACGAATGCATAAGAATGCATGTTCAGTTAACATGAATATCTTTGAATGCTTACGAGATGGTTGAAAATCGAGCAGTTTCTTTTAGTGAAAAACATTTCCCCTTCGATACGTCGCTTCTAATTTAATTAATTATTATTTAATTATTATTTAAATAGTTTAATAACACACACACACACACACACACACACACACATCACAAGTTCGATATCCTTCTTTACGCAGAAAGATTTAAGCATATTACGTTTGCGTATGTTAAAAGAAAAGAAAAGAAATTTTTTTATTAACTGAGCTAACGTAGAAAATAAAGTCTTCGATGTGACAAGAAAGTGAGTCACACAACAAACGTTCTGAGATCATCACGCGTGTACGTACCTCTTTCAAGGTTTATTTCGCGCGAATTACATATACAAGTTCGGGTGATGCATTCACATATCGTCAAAAATCCCTTTCTCGAAAGAAAAGTTCGTCATTCATGAA